TCAATGTGGATCAAAAGACATAACTATATGTTATGTACAAGGAACTCACTTTAAATACAAAGATGTATGTATATGTATGTATATGTATAAATAATATCCAGAGTATACAAAGAACTCAAAAAATTAGACAATAAGATAACAAATAACCCAATCAACAAATGGGCCAAGGAGCTGAACAGACACTTCTCAGAGGAGGACATACAATCAATCAACAAGTACATGAAAAAATGCTCACCATCTCTAGCAGTCAGAGAAATGCAAATCAAAACCACCCTAAGATACCATCTCACTCCAGTAAGATTGGCAGCCATTATGAAGTCAAACAACAACAAGTGCTGGCGAGGATGTGGGGAAAGGGTACTCTTGTACATTGCTGGTGGGACTGCAAATTGGTGCGGCCAATTTGGAAAGCAGTATGGAGATTCCTGGGAAAGCTTGGAATGGAACCACCATTTGACCCAGCTATTGCCCTTCTCGAACTATTTCCTGAAGACCTTAAAAGAACATACTACAGGGATACTGCCACATCGATGTTCATAGCAGCACAATTCACAATAGCTAGACTGTGGAACCAACCCAGGTGCCCTTCAATAGATGAATGGATAAAAAAAAATGTGGCATTTATACACAATGGAGTATTACTCTGCATTAAAAAATGACAAAATCATGGAATTTGCAGGGAAATGGATGGTACTAGAGCAGATTATGCTAAGTGAAGCTAGCCAATCCCTGAAAAACAAATGCCAAATGTCTTCTTTGATATAATGAGAGAGAACAGAGCAGGGAGGAAGAGCAGGAGGAAAAGATTAACATTAAACAGAGACATGAGGTGGGAGGGAAAGGTAGAGAAAAGGGAAATTGCATGGAAATGGAAGGAGACCCTCATTGTTATACAAAATTACATAGAGAGGTTATGAGGTTATGAGGAGAATGGGAAAATAAACAAGGAGAGAAATGAATTACAGTAGATGGGGTAGAGAGAGAAGATGGGAGGGGAGGGGAGGGGGAATAGTAGAGGATAGGAAAGGTAGCAGAATACAACAGTTACTAATATGGCATTATGTAAAAATGTGGATGTGTAACCGATGTGATTCTGCAATCTGTATTTGGGGTAAAAATGGGAGTTCATAACCCACTTGAATCTAATGTATGAAATATGATATGTCAAGAGTTTTGTAATGTTTTGAACAACCAATTTAAAAAAAATAAAAAATAAATATATATTAAATATAAAGGGACAGAGAAAAATATGATAATAATAATCAAAAGAAACTTGAAGTAGCTCCACTAATTTCAGTCAGGGTGGACTTATAGCAAAATACATATTCTTCTCAACTTACATGGGACATGTGCCAGGAATCTTTGGGCCAAAAAATGGATCATAAAATGTATTTATACATTTAAAGATGAGAAATCATACAGTCTTCTTTCAGTTCATAATTAAATCAAAATAGAAATCAATAACAGAAACAGCTAGAAAATTTAAAAACATTTCGAGGTTAAACAATGTTTGTATTCAAATCTCAAATGAAAATACAACGTATCAAAATTTGTGGAATGCAGCAGAAGTGGTATTTAGAGAGAAATTATAGCATGGATACATAAATTAGGAAAAAAAGATGTAAAATAAAGAATCTAAATTTCTAGGTTAGAAATTCATAAAAAGTAAATTAAATTTAAAGTGAAGGAAAGAAACAATAAAAGAAAAGAAATTTTAAAAAACTGACAACAAAAAAAATAGAGAAAAATCAACAAAACCAAAAGCTCTTTCTTTCAAAAAAAATCAGTAAAAGTCTAACCAGCACATCTCAGACACAAAGAGAAAATATATATATATTATTATAATTAATAAGTGAATGAGGGGACATCACTACAAATATTATGGATATTCAAAGGATACCTTAAGAATATTTTTGAACAAATCCATGACCCACCCAAAATTTGATCACTTAGATGAAATGAACCAATTCATTGAAAAACAATGTCTGCTAAAACTCACAAAAGAATAAATGTAAAATCTAAAAATTTAAAAATTTTAATCAATAATTAAAGATCTTCAGAAATACTGGCGGTATAGCTCAGTGATACAGTGAACTTTTAGCATGCATGAGGCCCTAGAATCAATTCCCAACACCAGTACTAAAACCAAACCAAACCAAACAACAGCAACAATAACAAATATTCCAAAACGGAAAACACCAAGTCCACAAGGGGCTACATATGTCCACTGGTGAATTATACCAAATATTTAAAGTGTAAATCACACCATTTTGTTAGGATCTCTTTCAGAAAGCACAAGTATGGGAAATACTTCCTAACTCATTCTATAAGGCCAGCATTACTCAAATACCAAAACCAAAAACATTACAGGAACACACATATATTCTATAGATCAATATCTCTCATGAAGACAAAGACAAAAAATTCTCAAAAAAATATTAACAAATCAAATCCAACAATGTGTAAACAAAATAACAGAATTATACCTCATGACCAACTGGGATTTATACCATATATGTAAGGTTGATTCAACATTCAAAACCAATTAATATAATATATCACATCAACAAGATAAAGAAGAAAAATCACATGAGCAGATTAATAGCTGCAGAAAGAGCATCTGACAACAGCTAACACCCACACATGATAAAGACTCAGCATATCAGAAAGGGGATTTTCTTCAACTTGATGAAAAAAGTCTACAAAAACCCTACCACTAATATCTTACTTAATGATGAGAAACCAGAAACTTTCCCACTAAGACTAGAAAGGCAACAACGTCTCCTCTCACAACTCCTTTTCAAAATCATACTGAAAGTCCTGGCTAATGCAATTCGAAAAGGAAATAAAAGGTATGTAGATTTGGAAGGAAGACATACAACTGTCCTTGCTTAGAGATGGCATGACAGCATGTAGAAAATGCAAATAAATCAACCAAGAAAATGTCTGAAAGGAATAAGTGGTTATAACAAGGTTGGAAGATATGAGGTAAATATACAAATATCCTTCACTTTCTTAAATACTGGCAATGAACAACTAAAATTTTAAATTAGGAAAAAAACCCTCATTTACAATAGCATCTCCCAATATGAAATGCTGAGGTATATATCTAACAAAATATGTACAAACCTATATAAGGAAAACTAAAAAACAAATAAATCAAAGAACTAAATAAACGGAGTGATTGTTCATGTTCAGTGATAGGAAGACAATATAATCAATGTGTTAGTTCTTCCCAACTGTATCTGTAGATTCAATGTAATCCCAACACAGATTGCAAGCTATTCGTAGACATAGACTTAGACTACAATTTTATGTGGAAAGGCAAAATACCTAGCATAGCCAACACGATTTTGAAGAACTAAGAGTAGTACTGACAGTACTTCAAGATTTACCTATTTTATATTCTTTCACAAATATGTATTTGTGAAAGAATAGAAAATAGGTCATTATTACAGAATAGGGAGCCCAGAAATAGCATGTGCAAATATCTTATCAACTGATCTTTGGTAAAGAAGCAAAGGTAATACAATGGAGAAAAAAATAACGTTTTAAATAAATGGTACTGGAATTGAACATCCATGTGCAAAAAAAAAAAAAAAAAAAAGACCAAAAATGCTGATAACACCAGGCTTGAATGGATACAGAGCAACGGGAAATCTTACTCATTGATGGGAATGAAAAATGGCCCAGAAACTTTAAAAAGTCGTAATTTGGAAGTTTCTTCTTCTTCCTTCTTCTCTTTGTCTTTTCAGTGTTGGGGATTGAACCCAGATTCTCTCATGCTTGCTAGGTACATTTTCTACCACTGAGCTACAACACCAGTGTGGCAGTCTGTTACAAAACTGAATATATTCATACTACAGGTCTAGCAATAGCATCCTTGATATTTATTTAAGCATCTGAAAACTTACATTTACACAAACACCTATGCAGATGTTTACAGTCATTTTTTTGATAATTACACAAACTTGAAAGCAACCAAGATGTTCTCCAGTAGATGAATAGATCAATAAACAGAAGCACATCCACACAACGAAATATAATTCAGTGCTAAAAATAAATGAGCCATCAAGCCATGAGAAGACATGGAGTAAACTTAAATGCACATTACTAAGGCAATCTGAAAGGATATATGTTGTAAGACTCTGTATAACATTCTAGAAAAGGCAAATAACAGAAACAGTTATGGATCCATGGTTTCCAGGAGGGAGGGATGAGGACACAGAGCAGAAAGGATTTTTAGAGCAGATACGTGTCATTAAACATTTGTCAAAACCCACAGAATTCACCACACCAAAAATGAATTCCAATGTAAATTGTACAGTTGGGGTCATATGATCCATCATCATAGATCCACCAATTATACTGAATGTGCCATCTGATGTGGGATAACGATAGTGGCGGAGACTGTGCCTGTGTGGAATCGAGAAGTTTCGGGGAACCCCACCCAAATTTGCTGTGATTCTTTAAAAAGTCTATTAAAAAGAAAGATGCTAGGTACTTGATGAAATTTAGTAACGATTTTGTTCTAGCAGAAAAATAAACACTTTGCATTTGTGAATACTTTTTTTAAGGGCCAGGCAAATGTTAAGAAAATCTGCAAGGCAACTTATTGTGAAAGCTTTGGAGGTTAAGTTCTATGAACACAGCAAGAACTAATGGTGATACTGAAGTCTTATAGAAAGGTTTGCAATTTTTTTACCTTTCTGTTTTTTTTTTTTTTTTTTTTTTTTAAGGAAGAGTATCAGTGAAGAATACTCCTTGAAGACACATTCAGCTAAGGCTTTTTTTAATTAGTGGAGTACTTTTTTATGGGGAGTTCATTTCTGTGTGGGTGAGGTGCTCTGGGTCTGGGGCTCCTCTCCAAGAAGTGGTGTGGAAGCACTGGCAAAGAGATTTTTGCGTGAGGCTCTTTACTGATGAGAGTAAGCAGCTTGAAGAACCGAAGGGTCATTGAAGGCCATGTCCCAGTGCAAGTGGCCTAGGTCTCAGGCTGGCTACTCTGGCCTTGTCTCGGGATGTGCATGGACTCGTCTCTCTGTGTGCCTTCCGTGGCGGCTGCGTGGGCCACTGGGGTGCCGCGGTGGGTAAGGCGGAGATGCATGGCCTGAGCGCTGGGTGGACACTCGGCAGATGGGGCCCAGCCTTGGTTCACGGGCTACCACGGTGTGAGCTTCCCTGGTATAACTGACTTGGCGCGTTGAGGAATCAAAAAGTTGCTGGAGCTGCAAAGGTGGATCTGAAGAAAAAAGGGTGCTGTGATGGTAGTGTGGGAACAGGGTCTGAGCCTGGGGAAAAGGCACAGAAGGTCGCCAAGGGGGAGTGGGTGGGAGCCAGGAAAAGGCTGGTTCTCTTGGGTCACCTGGATTGTCTTGGGGCTGCCTCCTGCCTGCCGGTCCTGCACGTCTGCCTACAAGCGAAAGGTCATCCCTGATCCACCTGCCCACTGGGTGGTGGCCTGGGAGGTCCACACCCCAGGCATCTACCACGTGGGCCAGCAGGAGCTAGGAGAGGTGCCGGTGCGCGCCTCGTCCGAGTGCACGCCATCTGACTGCCGGTGTTGCCCCGCGTGGCGGAAGTGGAAATGGAGGTCCAGCATGTCGAAGCCACGCCTGACCGCCTTTGTACAGCTGTAGAAGTTGGCCTCCATTACGGCTTTCCGCAGGCTGGTACAGCAAGTCTCGCTTTCCGAGGCAAGGAAGACTCCAGAGACGACTTCTGACATAGGCAAGGCTGTGTTCCACACCAGGAGGCAGGACTGGGGCAGGACCTGGTCCAGGCGCCGGAACAGGCTCTCCACGTCCTCCCGGTAGCTCCTTTGGAAATCATGGCCATATCTGGAGAGGTCCCAGAGGCAACAGTTCAGGATGACCACGTCGGGGGCATGCGGGCCCCACCGCAGCTCTCCCAGGATATCCCCGAAGTAAGGCGAGTACGCACGCTTAAGGAAGTAGAAGCGCACCAGGTGGTGGCTGGAGCAGAATTGGCGAACCTCGCCGTAGTGGGGGCTGTTGTGCATGCGGCCCCACCTGCCACCCTCCAGCAGCACGTCACGCTCAAAGCTTATTTCGCCCCTGGTCTTCAGCTGGCAATCCTTCTGCAGTAGGAGGACCAGGTCCTTGTACACCGCCCGCTGGATGGAGTCCCCCATGACAACCGCGAACTTGTTGTGAAGCAGCTGCCTGACTTCGCAGGCTCACAGGTGGGCCATGGTGGCCGAGGGCAGGATGGGTGGCCGAGCTCCTGTCTCTTCTCAGGGCAGGTCAGAAGACAGCACCGGAGAAGGGCAGACCCTCAGAGCAGGAGAGGGTCGATTTGGCTTATGCTGTGAGGAGAAGCGAGGTGGGGCTCCCTTGGGCCCTGCAGCTCTCCTCAGCTGAACTGTACTTCACCCCGGGACGGGACTTGACCTCTGAACTACCAGGACTCCTGAGCTCCCAGGCTCCACCTGGTGGAGCGGAGGCACAGAACCCCAGCGGGTACCCGCGGCCCCATATCACTGAGGAGCGAGGAGCTAGGCTTTCACATAGCATGGCCTGAACTCAGGGCACAGCCAGTCCATACCCTTCTCTTATCATGCCAATATTTCACTAATGGGGTCCATGCTCCATCTAGATGCCTCTTCTTGCTGTTGCTGCTAACTCTTTCTGTGCGTGTTCCCATTTCTAGTTGAGAATTTCTTCAGTACTGGCTTGGTTCTCCTTCTTAGCCAACTCCTGTATTTGTGGCATTTGGGGAATGTCTCTATTATGGGAAGAACACCACTTCAAGGGATAGAACCCAGCCTGGGGACTGATCAACTGCTAGGATGTCCACCCAGTGGTTGGCAGAACGAGTGATTCCTAGGCAAACACTGTAGGACCCAACTATTTAAGGTATTTACAGCCAGCTCAGGTGTATTCACCTGTACTTGTAAGACAATTCAGAGATCCCTGTGTACCTTTATGCACTTTCCATGGGCCACTGTCTTGGAGAACTATAGTACCTCAGAACACTGGACAAACAGGCCATTTGAAAATGGCAAGGTTGGAATTCTCCTCTCAGTCTTACTGTCTGAAGGAGACATTCTTCCATTCTCTGAATGCCAGGCAACCACTAAGCCATTGTCCATTGACAGAATGTTGCCATTTCAAGAGTTCTATGCAAATGAAATTCTATATATGTCATTTGGGAGACAGGATTTTTTTACTCAGTATTGTTTTCTGGAGATTCACCAGAGTGTTCACTTTATAAACTCTGACCACCTGTTTTCTGTACTAGGAAGGGATTTTTCCAGTGATATAAATATTTCAATATTTTGTTACTTTTTTATTGCTGAGTGCTATTCTGCAGTATGGATATACCACAGCTGGTGTATCAAATCTCCCACTGAAAGTTTACAGCGTTTTCAATTTTTAGTTGTTAAAAAGTGTACTGTAGGCAAGTTTGGTGGCCCACACCTGTAATCCTAGCAGCTTGGGAGGATGAGGCAGGAGGATCACAAGTTCAAAGCCAACCTCAGCAACTTAGTGAGGTCCTAAGAAAATCAGTGAGACCCTGTCTCAAAATAAAATATAAAAGGGATGGAGATGTGGTTCAGTGGTTAAGTACCTCTGAGTTCAATTCCTGGTACAAAAAAAGAAAAACAAAAGTACTGTAGTAAGCATTTCTGTACAGGTTGTTGTGCAAACAGAGACTTTTATTTCTCTGGGATAGACAAAGAACGGTGATTGCAGGTCTTGGGATGGTTGTGTAGTTGGTAATTTAAGAAATGATCAAACTGTTTTCCAGAGTGGCTATACCATTTCATATTCTCATCAGTAATTATTGAATAACGAGTTTCTCTCTGGGCTATAGATACTCATATCCTGTACATTTAAACCTTATAATCTTTTGTATCCTTGCTCAAGCAAGTCCACTCCAGTAAGTCAGATAAAGAGAATTCCCCCCCCCCCCACCCCCGGCCATGCCTTCATGGGTTCTGTCTCCCATTTGTTAGAATTTGCTCCATAGAGTTTGGCTTAACTCCAGTGTTGCTTTGTTGTCTCATCTTGGTCCTTTAGCAGTTACTTAGAAAACCCAGCAGTACAGTATTTCACTCATGTATGGAAGCAGTGAGAGGAGCCTGATACTTAAGGCATGTAACTGGACAAATACATGCAGGGTGTTTAGGTTGTTCTCTTGAGATCTAAAATCTCAGCTGTCATCACTAATTGTTTCATATTTATGAAAAGGGAAGTAAGAGGAAGAAGACTTTCTTTTTCATTGAGGTTCTATAATTAATTACTTTGATATTTTTGTATCATCTACTCTTGCTCTGTGTAGGCATTCTCTGAGTATCAAGAATCTTTGAGGATCTCTTTGATAGGCCCCTTCTACTTAGGGTATCCAGGGTCATGCTTTACTGACTCTATTTTCTCCAGTGATCAGCTCCTGAATCTGCTTTTTCTTTTGTAGTATTTTCAGCTATCATCAGAATCTCTCAATTTTCACACTGCAATTTTTTTTTAAAAAAAATTTTTCTGTAATTTCACTGTAACCAGAAATAAGAAGAAAGTATTTTTTCTGGTTTATCCATCTTGAACTGAATGCCATCCATTTAATTTTTTGGTTGTGGAAGCAAATATATGATCTTGTACAATTTTTTTTTTTTTTTTTTTGCTAAAACTTCTAGGTTGCCTACCTGGTAGCAGGACAAGTAAATTACTTGTAAGGTAATTTTTACCCTAGTTCAGTGTATGACTTTATGAATCTATGGTTAGAAAGTTAAACAATAACTTCTTTACACATTAACAGAAAATTTTTTCTTATCTTCATCATCTTTTCAAATGATTCTCCAGATATATTCACTTTAGCACCTACATATACAAACAAACAAAACAAAAAGAACAAGAAAAGAAAAATGGAAAAGAAAAAACAACTTTAAATTCATAAATTATTTGTATTTGCATGTATTTGGGGTCTATGATCCAAATGCTTTTGTCTTCCTCTGAGCTTTTAAGCTTGGGGTATAATACTACTTTGTTTCTTTTTTCCTTTGTCTAATAGCAGATTTGGTTAAATGTTAGCATTAGAATATCTTGATTCTTCCTATGTCATAAAATGCAAATTTCCATTAAACATTGAGATTTCAATTTATTCACTAAATGAAGAGGATGACCCAGTTTAAAGGGAGTTAAAACTTTCTTCAGATTGTCAGAAGATATAAGTAAATGGTTTTTCTTTAGTCAGAGAAATAAAAAGTCTTAAGATTATTAAAAACAGACCTGAAGCCAAATATTATAAAGTATTGGGTGGGGAAAGAGAATTGTACTATGTATGAGATTTATAAAGATACCTATGATTCCAAATAAAACCATAAATGCTAGTCACAGCCTGCTTTTACATTCTACTATAACAGTTTCACTACCTAGATTTTTGGGTTTAAAAGTTGAGTTTATTCTGGGTGTAGGAATTAAAGAGTAAACAATATAGAGGGTAATCTAATATAAGGAAGGCACCAGGATTGAAGATTTAGAGGCATTTACTATAGTAAAGAGATGAGCTCATTGGGCAGAGAGGCCGTTCCTGCCAACCTATGTCTTCTTCCCCTCTGTGTGTCTCGGAAGCACCATATCCCTCATTATATTTCTTTGCAACCTTAACTGCTGCCTGACATTTTGTTAATTATTTGTTTATTATCTACTTATTTTATCAGTTTAAGCTCCATGGGAAAATGGCTTGTTTCCGTTTATTGATGTATCTCTAGTTCTTAGATAATACTGAGTGTGTGACTGGTTCTCAATAAATGCTTGTGGAATAAAAGAAAAAAAAATTAACCATGGAAATTCATTATTGGAAAAGAGCTTTAAAAACAATTCTAATGCTTGTGTTGCCTAATTAACAAATCTACTGAAGAGTCATCCAGTCTAAGTTCTTAAATTCATTCATGTTTAGTTATGGGAAACTCAGTTTGCCATAGCCATTAATTTTGTCCTCAGAAAATTGGACCATTATAAGTTTCTCTCTGGTTTTTTTTCCTTAAAGACTCTGCTTTATTCCTGAGACATTAGAGGATAATGATAATACTCTTCCATATGGCAATCTTTAATATTTTTGGACACATTTAGATACTATTAGTCTCCTGAGTGGTCTCTTTCTAGCCCCAAATCTCTTCAATTACTACAACTAAGGCATGAGTTCCATTTGTGTTAGCATATGACTCAATACTAAAAGAGGCATAATAACAAAACAAAGAGAATTCAGAAGCATGTCCCCATGGTCCAACAAGAATTTATTTGTATGATAATAAAGTGGATCCCAGTTAAATAATTCCCCCTTTTCCTTTCAAAGGATAGTGAGCCTTTGATTCTAGGATCCTCTATCCCTGGTAGATTCTGAACTCTGCACATTCTTGTGGAGGGTGCAGGGGAGAATAGAGAATCAAGAGTTGTCCCATCCACTCACATCCCTTTGACCCTGTGTATGCCCCTTTTGTTTGCTGATTGAGCAGTCGTCTGGATACCACCATTTTCAAATTGTCATTTACATCAGTTATTGAAGCCAGACTGGCTTTTGTGGTTGGTCCTAATTCATAAGTCTCTTCTCCATGTCTAGATTCTTTTGTCAGAATGCATCACAAGTCAAATATGACATTGAAAAGTAATCCCAGTTTTCCAGGTGTGGTTTAATCAACACCATCCCAGATTTGGATTATCACCTCCTTTGTTACATTAATGCTGCCTGAAACCTAATCTGCTTTTTTGGAGCATTGGCCATGCTCATGACTCACATTGACTTTACCTTCCACTAAACTCAACTGAGTCATTTTAATACACAATAAAAATTGTCTTCCCTGTCCTAAACCTATGCCTCTGGCTTTTAAAATTTGAGAGCAATTCTGAAGACTTATTACTGTTACATTTATTCTGTTGTTCCATTTGGCCAGAATCTTTTTATTCCATTGCTGCAGCCTGTCAAAATCTTTTTGGATTTTAATTCTTTTATCCTGGTTACTCAGTATCTTCCTTAGCAGTCTGCAAACCATGCTTGATCAGAATTTTTTCTATATCTGCACTCCATAGTGAAAATACTGAACTAGATAGGACAGAAGAAAGGGATTGTGGTGCATGTACACCTCCTTTCAGGTTTTCATTTCTTCAGTATTCCATGGCCTTTGGATATAATTGTTTAACCTATTATTGATCCACATAATTATGTTTACTTCAAGGACACATTTTTTTCCATATTATTCAAAAGAAGCTTCTGAAAAATTGCATCAGACACCTTTCTAGAGTCCTTATAAACTCAGCTTACCATGTTTCATAGCTCTAACAGCATAACCTTGCAAAGGTATGTGGGATATTCTCCCTGTTTCTGCCAGTTCACTCTCTGCACTGCTTTGTCCTGGAAGCCATCTGCTGTGTACTGATTTAGCTAGAATCCTTTGTCCTGCACTGGCAGGAGGCTTCAGGAGAGCAGGAAATAAGATTACCTTATGTATTTCCCCAGATCCTCCCTTCACAGACCATTAAGAGTTCAGTCTAAGCAGCTTAGTTCTTCCAAAGGTTACCGTGTCCCTCCAATGGACTCTCCTGAAGAGATAGCCTTTCTCTCCAGGTTTTCTCTCCAGGTTTTCACACACATCACGTCCCCTGCTCCTTCAAACCAAAGGATCAAGGCCAGCTGCATGGACTTGCAACCTGTGCCATCATACAAAGCTCCATTCTTGATTAATGATGTGTGGTCCCTGTCTTGAAATTCCTAATCATTTTGGAATAAGGCAACTTGCAAATTATGCCGTCAGTCTTGCTATGGATAGTACCAGTTCCCCACGGTTCTTCACTATCCCGCCAGGTTTTTAACCCTGCCCCATGCTTTTATGGAATGTCCCTTTTCTAAACTCTAGTCAATTATACTCTTTTGTTATGTGTGCCATCTGTTCCCTGCCAGGGCCCTGATTAATACACAAAGAAATAAGGTGAGTCAGATTTGTTTTTGTGAGCCTTTGTTGGCTCCAGGTGATTGTTGCTTCTTTATGTTCTCCACACCTATTCCTTCATATAAAAAGGATTCTAAAATCTTCGCTGAAATCAATTTTGTTCCATTTTTCAGAATTGGTTGATATATTCTCCTTTGCTGTTCTGATAGTTCCCCAAAGACCACCAGCAATGTTTGGTTTAATGATCTAATTTGCAGGTTCTTTAGAGACCTTTAGAGAAAATTCAGGATCAGAAATTTACCTATCCTTCCGCAGCTAGAGTGCCAATTCCCTCTTACCAACACGTTTTGTCACTTTTCAATCCAAGCAAAGATTCGTTTTCTCTTTGTCATCAGTCAAGGTATTATTGACATCAGAGAATATTCCCTTTGCTACCTTCTCCTTGCTTTGATATAAAGTTTGAAAGATCTTTTTTTTCCAACCTCCACTTATTTGCTGCCACAGACTTCCTAAAACTATGAATTCTGTGCCACCTTCTAGTAGGAGTTCTTCCTTTACTATTTGTTTCATCTGATCTTTTGAACAGGTGGAGAGGACAAAAATATTACCATACAAATTCACAGACTTACATCAGCCCCCACGCTCTTCCAGTTCTAAGAAAGAAGGATTTCTGTATTGTTCCTATATCTTTATGGCTGGGCTTTTGTCATTCTGAATGGGGTCCTCAGAACAGAGAAAGACCAGATTACTTTCAAAAGAAAAAGGCTTAGAAAAGAAGTGATTATAGAAATTCAAGTTTGGACTAAAATGCTAAAGGTATTAGGGAGAAAGTTACAGGAAATAATTCAGAAGGAGGTTGGTGTCTATGAAGCAACTGTCCTGAGAATGGAGATAGCAAACAAGAGGCCTGCCTTGCCTTGTTTTGCCACATTTGTCTGTTCAAGAGGCTCCTATATAGATCTGAATCACTTCTCAAAGCTTTCTTGGTGGTTACTGTGTTGCATATATCACCATGCTCAGACCAGCCATGGGAAGGGCCAGTGATGTTTATATTGTATATATGTTCCTTCAAAATCTGAGCTCAGTAACCACATTGGTTTCCTTAAAATATCTGGGCCTTTTCTTCCTCTGTGGCTTCATTATTTGCAATTACACAGTTAGAATTACATTTATGTGAACTCCTGAAATCATCTTCCATCTCAGTATTTCCTGGCATTAAAAAAAATCAAACTTACATTAAAAAAATAATAATAAACATCCTAAAGTATTGGTAACCATTCTTGCAACCTTATTCCATGGGATACACTTCCTGGCCAATTTTACTTTTAGCAGAATATAAATTCTGCTAAATTTTAGGCAGATTTTTAAAAAATTTATGGTAAATATATAGTAAATGGTATTTATTATTGTCTTAATCCATTTCTTGCTATCATAATAAAATAGCTGAGATTGGGTAATTTATAAAAAGTGGAGATTTGTTTCTTACAGTTCTGGAGGCTTAGATGTCCAAGGCTGAGGGAACACATCTGCAGGGACCTTCTTGGCTGCATCATGGCATGGCAGAAAGTGAAAGGGTGAGAGAGAGGGAGCAATATAACTTGCATCTCCATCTCTTTGATAATCAGCATTAATCCTCTGACCTAAACACCTGCTATGAGGCCCCACCTCCCTAAACTGTAATAGGGGGATTATGTTACTAAACATGTTTTGGGAGTACACATTTAAACTGTAGCAATCCGACTCTGGCCCCCAAATTTATGTTCTTCTCACATACAGGATACATTTATTACATCCCATGAGCCACAGAGTCTTAACTCATTAGAGGACCAAAGCCAAAATCCAGAGTCAGATATATATAAAACTCAAGGCACAATTCATCCCCAGGGAAATTCCCCTCCCATTGTGCTCCTGTGAAAGCAACAAGTTTACATGCTTTAAAACAATACAGTAGTGGGACAGGCATAGGATGATCATTCCCATTCCAAAACTCGGAAATAGGCAAGAAGAAAGGGATAACTGATTTCAAAGTAGGTCCAGAATCCAATAGGAAAAATCACATTAAGTCTTAAACCTTAATAATAATAATAATAATAATAATAATAATAATAATATTCTTTGATTTCATGTCTTGCATCTTGGGTCACTAGAGTAGGAGTTGGATCCCAGGGTTTAAGGTAGCCTGCATGCCTATGGATTTGCAAGTCCGTCTAGCAGCTTTTCCAGGTTGAAGTCTATGCCTAGAGATTTTACAAGCTGGCATTGCATACTGTGGCCCTGCAGTTCTGTGGTCTCATGGACTGTCCCACTCCCTTATTTCCCCTAAGCATTGCCCTAGTGGAGATTTCTATGGTGGCCTTGCTACTGTAGCTCCTTGTGGGGGCTCTGTCTAGTGTTTATGCCCCATGACAACTCTCTGCCTGGACCCCCAGGCTGTTTGAGATGTCCTTTGGCATGTAGGTAGCTGTTGCCATGGCCCCACAGTCTTGCATTCTGTGTGACTACAGAATTAGCATTGCATGGATGCTGCCCAGGATTAGTGCTAGTACCTGCTGGAGCAGTAGGTTGAGGTGTACTTGAATCATTGCTGGGGTGATGAGGAATTTGATCAGAGTATGGAGGCAGCACAGGGCACGAGTGCTGAGGTTCCATGAATGTATCTCTAGACTTGCCCTCAAGGTCCTAGCTTGCTGGAAGGTATCAGAAATGCTTTTTCCCATTGTCTTGGTGAGTAGAACCTGGATTTCCTTTATCAGTCTCTGTAGCAAATGGATGCTTGGCCACTCCATTAGTATTGTCAATTGAACAAGCGCTTTTTTTTTTTTTTTTAATTTTTATGGGATGAGATATTTTTAAATCTTTCCATTTTGCTGCCCTTTTAATTATGGATTTTAACTTTATTTCTCTTTTCCCTCATTTTACTATTAGTGGTTAAAATAAGCCACCATGAATACTTTCTGTTTACCTATTTCTTCTATTAGATATCCTAGTTCATTCCTGTCTTAGTCAATTTTGTGTTGCTGTAACAAAAATACATGAGATGGGGTACTTCAAAAGAAAAGAGATTTATTTGTTTAGGAGGCAGAAAGTCTAAAATCAGACAGCCATTTATGTCTGACCTCTTGTACGGGCTTTCTGGATATATGATGGCAGGGTAGACAGTATCAAGAGGCAGGAGTGTGTGAGGGAGTGGAGGTGTCATGCATGATATGGGACAGGGCCAGACTTGCTCTTTTATAATGATCTGCGCTTGTGGGAACTAATCCATTCCTGCAAAATTTACATTAATCCCTTCTTAAGGGCATTAATAATCCAATTACCCAATTGCTTTCCACTAGGCACCATTCCCTAAAGGTTTTACCACTTTTCAACATCACCACCCTGGGGACCATGCTTCCAGCATGTGAGACTTTGGGGAACACACTAGATCCAAACCATAGCTTTCACTCTTAAGTTCTACCTTCCACAGTGTCCTAGGACATGGATGTAGTTCTGCCAAGTTTTTTGCACTGTACCACAAAGATGACTGTCTCTATTACCCTTTTTCTCATTTCCATCTGAGACCTCATCTGAGTGGCCTTTATAGTCCATACTTCCCCTAACACTATGATCATGACCACTTACATAATCCTTGAGAGATTTAGATTCCATTTATACCTCTTCTCTTCTGAGCCTTTATCACAATTACTCTTGATGCTTCATTCATGGAAATCTAGACTTTTTCTAGCCTGTTCCTCCTCCAAATTCCTCCAGGGTCTATCCATTGCCCACTTTAAAAGCCACTTCCATATTTTCAGGTATTAGTAATAGCAACATCCTCATTTCTCTGGCACCAATTATTTGTCTTAGTATTTCTGCTGTGCTAACAGAATACCTGAGACCAGATAATTTATAAAGAACATACGAATGTTTCTCACAGTTCTGGAAGATACGAAATTCAAGGTTGAGGAGCCCACTTGTGATGAGGACTGTCATGTTTCATCTTCCCACAGCAGAAGGGGAGAAAGTGAAAAAAAGGCAAATGATTGTGCTTAGAGCCTCAATTCTTTTTATAATCAGCATTAATCCATTCATGAAGATGGAGCTGTCATGACCTAAACAACTCCCATTAGACTATAATTCCTACATTGTAGCATTGAGTATTAAATTTCCAACATGTACATTTTGGGGGGATACTTTCAAGTCATAGCAAAAATATATTCCTTCCTTGAAGACTATGCTGAGATCCATAGAGTAAGGACTCTGGAAAATTCTGCCATAAATGCATTTGTCTACCTTGGTTTAACCCAGGAATCTTCAAACTTAATGTTGAGAACCAAAACCCTTTGCACCTACAGTTTCTTTGTATTCTGCATTGAGATGATTTTACCATTTGGTGATTTTCATTTATATGAAAATCAGAAGACTTGCCCAGGTAGTTACAGTTTCAAGTAACTTTTTTGTTCATTTTAGGAACTCCCAGAAAACCCATGTACTTGTATAATCCACTTACCCTCATCAGGTAAAATGCTCTTACTGGGGACACTATGAAACCAAAAGATGTTCCCTTCTCAAGATTTTTTTTGAAACTATATCTGGGCTCCACTCATAAATCTTTAATAATATTTCATGAACTTTCTGCAACCCTAATTAAACTTCCACTTTGAAAGACCTACCTTTAACCAGATCCCAGAAACTTCATTAATATCTTTACTTTTTTTCCTCCCTATGATTGATGCTACTAAGAGTCCATCAGTGTAACCATCTCCCTTACTCACTAGTAATTAAAATCAGCTTTGCTCTATCAAGAAATTATTTTAAGTGAGTAGAATACTCACCTAAAAACTCTTACATGTGGGCTTTATTGGTATCCTAGGGAATCAGTGTTTTAAGAGATACATTTGAGGGGATTTGGTCTCCCAGGATTGTATAAAAGAATTCTGGCCCAAGTTAGCCTGGATCTAAGCTATTAAAAACCATCTTTTCTTCAAATTACATGATATTTATTACAGAAATCTCCTCAGTCAACATGTTTACATATACTAACAGGAACTAGTACTTTCTTTGTGTATTTCTTTTCTATGGATAATTTCATATCAGATACTATATTATGTTTGTGAACCCTAAAATTCATGTGTTGAAACTTAATATGTCTTATTATTAAGAGATGAAGGCTTGAGAAGCCGAGTAAGTTCTGAGGCTGCCCTCAGCTATGGGATTAGGGTCCTCATAAAGTGGCCTGAATGGGTGTGTTCCTTCTGTACTGCTCTTCTGCCACCTGATGACATGGGATTCATCCCCTTTTGTCTTTCTGATCTTTCCACATGAGAAAACCTAGACAATACCATCTGAGGAACAGGCTTTGCCAGACACCAAACCTGCCAGAGTCTTGATCCTAGATTTCCCATGCTTGAGACCTCTAAGAAATAAATTTCAGTTTGTTTATAAATTATCATTCTCAGGTATTTTGTTATAGAAGAATAAAACCATCAAGGCACCATGATACACCAGGATATAGGATTTCATTTTCAATTTTAACTGAAATGAAATTCAGGGTTTTTTTGTTGTTGTTGTTATTGTTGTTTGCAAGTCCCCATATGAAAGGTGAAGGATAGGTCTCAAAAATTAATGTCCAGAATTTATTTAAAAGAGAATGGAGTGAGATAAGGATCTCCATGAAGGTCTACCATTTGGAACTTTAAACTATTCATTAACAAAGGTGATGTAATAAGCCTTATATCAGTGATGACAGTTCTTGGTGCTCTTGCTGGCTGGGACTTCTAGGAAAGCTTCACAGTTCTAGGAATCTCCCAGCAATCTGTTGTCAGGCTTTACCCAGGGAGATGGATCTGGGAAAATATAGGACATTCTCTGTTTCATATCCTCACTTACCCTAGACAGGGTTACCTGTCATCTGCTGTTTTGTCACCTGGTCATGTCTTCTCCTTTTGGACACGGGCTTTCTCACTATACCCTCTCACCCCCAACCCAAAATGAGATTGACAGAGGATAGAATCCTGAGTCACAGTGTTACACAATTCACTGTATCAAGATTATAAAATTTTAAATCAAAATAAGTATTATGCATCTGCATAAATTTTCTGAATCTCAATTTTCTCACTGGAGCAATGTAGGTTATAATAATTATCATCATTACCTAAAGGTAGTTGTAGTGATTAGAACATAAAAGAATGATTAATATAAAGTTTACTCTTAGTATATATGTAAATAATTATTGGTATATAAAGATGGTGAAAAGTGTAGCTGATATTTCACATTAAGGTGAACATAATAGGAAAAATATGCTATCCTGGCCACTCTAAATATTTTCCCTGTATTAATAAAACTTTTAGCAAAAATCTTAGTTTAAAATAACTACTGTCATTTTTGTCTACCAGCTTAGCTTTAGTTTTGGATTTGATTCATTTAGGCTAGAAAACTACAGCAGTGATCAAAGGCATAATTATAACATATTTATAGCCTATTATTATTGTAACATTCTGAAGTAAAGGGCAAAAATTCTACCCAGTGAACTTGTTCTTCCTGTTACTGACACAAGATAGAGACATTTAAATGCTAAGACATGGATCCCTCAGGCAGAACATAAAATATTTATAATGAAGGGAGTATGGACCAATAAATTTCAGTTATGAATGTTTTTAGCTAGAAGAAATAATAAATAACCTTCCACAGGCAATATTTCAGTTTGCATTTATTGTACCTCATCACTTCAGATTTTCAGGAAACAATAATGATTGCATAGTAGGACACTAAATTACTCTCATGTTTAATGAACGATTAAACTGTTAAGCTTTGATTAAGATATAAGAGCCTCCCTAATTTGACTGTGAGATGTGGTTTCCTTCGAAAGATACAGTTTTTAATAGTAACAATAGATGATAATTTATGTATTTTTTTTCAATAGTAATTTCTGATATAGGTTAGGCTTTGAAAAAAGAATATCAAATTTGTAGGTTTTGGGAAGGAAGAAAAAGATAGCACTTAAGTAGTAGGGAGATAAATTATGTACTTGGGATGCCTTATCTCTAGTCCATTTAAACAGTTTTAAAAATTGGCAAGGAAAGTGGCTTAAATATTTTCGGATGATGCATAGAAATTGCTAGGAGATATTGTGGTACCTGGGAACCACTGTAGTTGAGAAGCAGATGTCAATCAGAACTCTGACTTTGTAACTCACCAGCTGTGTGACACTGTACGAATCATTTGTTTTCTAACTCTTTCAATTTGAAAGCTACAACAATAAGGCATATTTTACATGGTTGTTGTAAAGATGAAGTGACACAACTTATGTGTATCAATCTGGGCTCTTCAGGGTGCAAAGCCTGAGTACAAGTTTTTTTTTTTTTTTTTTTTTTTTTTTTTTAATAGGCATTTGTGATGCTATAGAGAGGAAGGGGTGAGGGAGGGGAAATCAGGTAAATAAGGAAGTAGAATCAACACTGTGATGGGTGCCTACTAGTTTGACCATTAAGCACTATTTGAAAGCCTTAGTGATGTGTGAATCAGGACCATCTGTCAGGGGAAGAATGGGAGAGGAATTTATCAGTTTCCTCTTATGCATTGTTCACCCATGGGAGATGTTACAGATTGAATTCTGAATTGTATTCCCCCTCCCACAAACCCGACTAAATTCATATACTGAAGCTCCAACGTCCAGTACCTCAGAATGTGACTTGATTTGGAGGTTACACCTTTAAAGAGGTGATTAATTTAAACTGAGGCCAATAGGGTAGGCCCTAATACAACTTGCCTGGGGTTCTTATAATAAGAGGAAACTTGGCCATGTAGAGGGAAGTTTATGTGAGGATACCGTGAAAAGGTGACCAATTACAAGCCAAGAAAAAAGGCCACAGAAGAAACCCAATCTGCAGATGCCTTGATCTTAGACTTCTCACCTCCAAAACTGAAAAAAAATGCATTATTGTTCATTAAGCCACCCAATCCGTGGTGTTTATATGTGAAAAGAAAGTTTTCTTCCTTGTCCCCAAGTTGAAGAGTCAACATAAGAGTCCCAAGTGGCAAGTGAAAAGTGGGGTCTTGGAGGAAAGGGCCATCAGGCTGTGGAATGTTGAAAGATCAGGTGGTCACTTTGATGTCTGGAATATGACAGATGAAACCCAAAGAAGCTAAAAAAGAACACAAGAGGTGATACAAATGAAAAAGGTTTTTAAAACTGCAAAGTTGTTATTAATAATAATCAGGGATAAAACTAGATTTATGTAGGATTTGTGTAGGATTCATTAGGATGGTTCATGAACTCATAATTGCATTACAAATTTTATTTTATATCACGTTCCGTTCCGTCAAACTCTTCTGATACTAGAAAGAAATAGCCATGTTTCTTGCAGGGAATAAGCAAATTTAGTCTTTAAAAACAAGTAAACAGACTATGTCATTGAAAGATAAAGCATTAGATAAAATGTGGGATCACTCTCATTGTTTTTGCATGTTTGCCTCTTCCCTTAAAATCTATAGCACCTGGGTTTGGCCTTCCAATTCCAGGTCCCATGGTCTATTGCAAAGAATCTTGAATTGGACACGCTTGAGAGATGAGTGATTTTCCTGGTCACACGAGGCGTGCATATGGTTAT